AACAGTTCTGCCTCACATATTTATAAAACACGTGCATCAACTCAAGGTAATTTTCTAATGTCACAAATAACTCTGAAAATATATTCACTAATGCTTCCAAACACATGCTTCAGTTTAGCAGATTTTTATTTCAAGTTTTAGTCATACTATCAACCTGGAACTACTTAGATATGTATTTTTCCTCAAAAGTAAATACCGGAATCCAAGACTGTTTTATTGTTGCAAACTTAAGAAGCCTTGTGCGAACCAAAGCTGCATGGGTTTTATTTTTTATTTTTTTTCTTTTTTTGCAGTGATGCAATCAAAATACTCACAAGCTTTCTGCTTCCAAGATGTGAAATTAAAAGCTTTTGTATGTTGTAATAAATTGTTCCAGTTTTCAGTTTAATAGGCATGTATACCCTTCAAACATATTTTAATGCTTTTTGACCATTTTAGGTGGAGTGACATGAAGAATAATAGATTAAGCCTTCCTACCAAGATATGTCCAAACACAGCTAGGTGAAGGTACATTAAATACACTAAATTAGAATGCATGTGGGGCAAATGTATGAATGCTTTAGGCTCTGAAAAGAATTAATTAGAGGATCCATGAAATTCTTTATAATAAGGGAGACATCCTTTGCTGCACTGACATATATACATTAGGATTCTTTCATTATTTATCCTTGCAGTAGTCTTCCACTGACCTTAACAATGAATCACTGAAAAGTAGGAAAAGGTTATTTTACACTAGTATAGTCTTCCTGATTTAAACTCGGAGAGACTTTCAATGGCAGCATGTTTCTTTATACTCTGGATTGTGTGGTTCAACAGCCTCGGCTGCCTAGTGTAAAACCACTACACTAAAGCATGATCTGGCAAATGTAAGCCCAATTCTCTGCAGCACAGCGTTTGCATCCCTTAATTGACTTTGATGAAAAGGCTGGTTGAGAAATGCAGCCCTGCTGCTGAACAATAACTTACACTTCACACTCTAAGGAGATCTCTGGGCCCAAAACCCTGTGCTGGTGAACGTTGCTCACTACCACTGACTTCATCCTGAATGAATCAAACTTCTTTTCACTGAACTCTGCTGCCTGTTTTTACTTAATGAAGTGTTGAACATGCTAAAGGAACTGAACTGAATTACATCTCAGCTAGAGTTTGGAGCCCTTTATTGATGAAAATGTTAATTTCTTTTTGTGAAGATAAAGTGTCAGCCATAATGACAGCGAAATAATGTGGGCCTTATTCATGAAAATTCTCCAAGGGGATTGTGTTTAACACTTAATTTCTCATTCACAGCTTATGCTGGCACCCTGCCACCTGTACCTGAGGGCTGTCACTCAGAGGGACATACTGAGAGATAACCACTTACTGCGTATCAGTGGACTGGGTTGCTGCTTTCCCTGTGAACAGCCCGAGCCTCTGGGATACGCAAGGGAGCAGGAGGAGCCACACACTTCTCTAAGGGACATTTTTCACATAGTGCCAGTGCTGAGCACTTGTATTTATTATCTTGTTAAGAAAACATAGATAACAAAATCAGGTATTTTCATGCTATCCGACTCAATATTTACTTGCTGGGAACACAACTATTATTCCAGTTTGCAGATGTCTGTCCAATGATGCAGATGGCCTGAGGGAAACATGGTTATTCTATCACTTTAGCTGGCTTGATGTTCTTGAGGTGCTATTACATATTGATGCTAAACACCTATTTTAAGCTCCCGTATCCACTCTTTTTTTTTTTCCAAAATTCATTAAAAATGGAATTGCTACTTAAACCACACCCATTTTAATTCAGAAAATGAAAAATTATTAGCCCACTGGAGAAACAAGCTGCTCTGTAAGCAGCAGCACTAACAACAACCTGAATACTGAAGGAACCAGTTTCCGCCAACAGGACAGGCATACAAACCAGCTCTCATGAGGAACCTCTGAGCCTAAAGAAGCACAAGGACATACCAAAATTTTGCAGTCCCTTATAGCACCTGCAAAACACTTTCTGCCCTCCATCTAGCTGTCTGGTTTCATTAAGTCTGTAGAAATGAGCTCTCTTTGGGGCTTCCTTGAAACCACCTATTTAAGCTCCCGTATCCACTCTTTTTTTTTTTCCAAAATTCATTAAAAATGGAATTGCTACTTAAACCACACCCATTTTAATTCAGAAAATGAAAAATTATTAGCCCACTGGAGAAACAAGCTGCTCTGTAAGCAGCAGCACTAACAACAACCTGAATACTGAAGGAACCAGTTTCCGCCAACAGGACAGGCATACAAACCAGCTCTCATGAGGAACCTCTGAGCCTAAAGAAGCACAAGGACATACCAAAATTTTGCAGTCCCTTATAGCACCTGCAAAACACTTTCTGCCCTCCATCTAGCTGTCTGGTTTCATTAAGTCTGTAGAAATGAGCTCTCTTTGGGGCTTCCTTGTCCTGCAAAAAGCCATTGGCTCTAAAACTGTGGGGAAAGCAGAGGGCCAGTGTGATTACCTAAGCCTTGGCTCTTAATGAAGACAGTATAGAAAACAAAGAAAGAAAAAACAGACTAAATAGATAATAGTTTAAACAAACAAAGGCAAATCCCAAAGGACCAATATCATTACAGCAGCTATAGTAGCTATATAGAAGCATCCATCAGAAGCTTAAAACTAATTCTTTGTGTTGGATCCACAGAACATGATGGGCCTGCTTGTCCCAGCTGTCACCAGTGAAAGGAGGTGCCTGTCTTGAAAAGCTGCATCGATTGAAGAGCTTGAGGTTGGGGACAGGTTAATAAAAGATGGACTTCCCCTCCACACTGCACTTTCTCAATGTTCCTTTATCTCTTGTCTCATGACTGATCAGTGTGCCTTGCTTTCTGCCTCCCCCCACCTTGGACACACCTCAAATTTGCTAGCTCCCTGCTTACAACTTAGGCTTTTTTCTACACACTCCTTGCACCAGCACAACCCACAGGCATTGCTATGTTGGAAAACTGGTGAGAAGTGACAAGGGTGGACATACTTTAACAAGAGGTCTTGCCAAAAGGGCTTTTGATCACTTTGATGTTTACTTAAAAAAAAATAGCAGCCACAGCCATCACTTGCATAAACACTGAAAACTACACAGGAATGACTAATACTGCTTTCAGTTATGTAGGCAATTTCCTGAGCTGAGGCTGAAAATACAAACAGTGATGCCCTGAATGCATAAAAAGGACAACCTTAGTCACCACATGCCACAGGAGGAGTTCTGTTTTCCTTAACAACTTCCTGCTTTCCTCTAAATCACGACTGAATTCCATTCTTTCTTGTCTTTTTGCTTTGCAACAACCTTTTAGGCACTTGAAAATTGAAATAGTCTCATTCCAACTTAGTAATTTTCTCTTTAATTTAAACCAACCCAATTTATTCAATCTGTCTTCTTAGGACATATTTTGCAAAGCTTGGACTGTGCTCACTGCTCTCCTTCTGACTCTTTTCAGCCTACCTGCATCACTTTCTAAGCAACAATATCCAGAAAAAGACCAAAGGCCTACTGTCCTGCTTTAAAGAGTAAAAGCATGTTATAGCACAGAATTACCTAACCTAGACCAGATAAGCTAACTTGTCTTCTGAAAGCACTATAGGGGCATTAGCGTGGTAGGTTAATGAATTATGTTGTAACCTGCAGTAATGAACGATGGATACCTATGCTCTGCCCTGTGTTTGCTTCCCACCGTTCACAGTAATTGTCTCAGTCTGATATAGATAAGCATTTAATTCTCTCATCCCTTTGCTCCAGTCTAGAACAGGAATACAGAGATGTTCCTCTATCCTTCTCTCATTGGAGGAAAAAACCCAACAACCCGACATATTGAAAATACTTTCACCAACCCCTCTCTCTGTACTGGCTCCTCATACTCTGTGATTTCCATAATGACGGGATCACTGGAGGTTTAAAAGCAGTCAACTCGCTTCCTCATCAATTAGAATTAGTTTAGTGCAAGTAGCAACTCTACAATTAACCGTCAGCTTTTATACATTATCAGACACTTTCTTCGTATCTTGTGATGTGAATTTTGGAATGAAAGAGCACTTGTAAAAAATCTTTGTGCTTATGGGACTTACCCTAAAAAGTATCCCAGTGAACTTGGGATGTATACTGTGAGCCAAGAAGGGCCCCAAGACACATGCGGTTACACAACATTTCATTCTAGCAGACATGGAACAGGAACAACCTACGTAGTAGCTCACTGAGCACCCACAAGCATTTGTACACTGTGAAGATGACTTTGAAGACAGGTCTAGATGAACCATTTCTGAATTTAGTAATCTGGTGTTTTTCATGATGAACAACTACTTCGTAAAAAAACACCTCTGAATGTACGTACACACACGTGTGTGTGTGTATATATATTTATATTTTTTTTTAATGTCTCAGTTTGCAAATCTTCATATTTCCATTGCCAGGCTGGGCGAGCATTTACCATACAGTTAAGTCAGTTATACAAGATACATGTTTTGCCACAAGATAATGAAAACTGCATTTTAAACCCTAAAATTTAATCTCCCACATAATATCATCCTCTGTAAGTTCCACTTGAAAAAATGATGTTTTATTCATACAATAATTATGTCCATTATAAAACTGTATTGTGCAAAGAGATTTTCAGTTGTAACTAAATGACACTGATAAATAAGACACCAGGAAAAATGCAATTATTGGTAATACCAGCCAACTGACATTTTGGTCTTCTAACTTCTCCTATACATAATAACCTTTAAGCAAAACTAATAGTAAAATTAGTGAACAGTGCATATCTTAAGTAATCTCTTACTCTACACTTTTGGGCCAGAAGAGTATCAGGCATTGCCATATACAAGTAGAGTTAAACCATACTTATTTATTCTGCCTTCACCAGTTTATTCAGTCACAGGCAATGCTGTAGCATCTATATGAATCCTCCAAAACTGTAAAGTAAACCAGGAATTACTGGCTAAGCAGCAGCCATCACAGACTGAAGCACAACAGAGGAAATACTAATCTTACCTTCACACACCGGGCAGCATTCCCCAGGGACTTTAACAGGATTTAGACAGCTCTGCCCACAGGCTGTTGCAACGCAGTGTGGATCTCCATTGATGCACTGGCAGAAAGTACAGTCGTCCTCTCGCCAGCGGTCTCCGTGAGCCTGGATCTGACCATTGGCATAGCAGCCAGCAGGGTTATTCACCGGATAAACTGGGTCTGAAATGAAGCATTGCAAGAGAATAAGAGATTTTACCTTCCCCTTTTACACCTAAACTTTAGGTATGAATAACTGCAATACTTTTGTTTGTACATTACCTAGAAAGGGTTAAGTGCAGTCACTATCAAACACTGAGAAAACTACTGAGAGTAAATGTCAAGATTGAAATTTACTGTTGAGAAAGTTAAGTCAACTTATACTGAATGTTCAAAAATTCTCTTTTTAGGATTTTTTTTTAGTGTTCTGTATTTAACTATTTCAACTCAAGTTTTGTGTGTAACAACTTTTACATATATAAATACTGCAACTCCATATATTCTAATTCATTACTTGAAATAAAAGCAGCTTTAATGTTTTAAAAATTATGTTTTACTCTTTGGAAATGTGACAAGCAACACAGATAATAGCAAAAAGCAAATTACATATTAAAGCAAATTCAATTTATAGAAATATATAAAAATAAAACTAAAAGCTTTGTTTTTAGCAGACAGCAGACATCAAATAAGCACAAGTGATTTACTCCTAAGTCAATTTCAAAAAGCATTAAGTTTGAAGACCTTGGGAGAAAAGAGATGTCTAAAGGAAAAAAAGGACTGGATGAAACTTGGAATATTTCTCTGAAGTTTCATAATTCGCTTTTGGAAGGAAGACAATGCATTTTAAGTGCAGGTGAAAGCAGCAGCAGTACTAATAACTCTTGTGTTATTATAAGCCATTGTAAGATGCTATGGTGGTATCAAACTCTGAACATTTGGAGTGGAACTGCACAGAAATTCTACCTCTACTTGGTATTCAAGCTCATCCTGAATTTTAGAGACATTTCCAATTTTAGCAAAATGGGTTAAGAAAATATACAAAACAGTTGTTTGGGAAAATAAGACATTTAAAAACTAAAATGTTTCCTAATTTCTTAACTTTGCACCTTTCCTGTTTTAGGATTACCTTGCATCTGCAATTAACTATTTTTACCTAATCCAGAATCAAATCATACACAAACAAATGAAGTGAATTTTATCATTCAACTCATGTATGGGATTCTGATTGACACAGGAATACAGACAAAGCACAGAAAAACCCTTAAAGTCTTGTGTTATTTGCTATAGTCTTTTATGTGAGTCAAAGCACAAAGTTCCTGGTATCCTTAAAAGGTCAGCAGTGTTTAGTAAAGCTATAAATTGAGCCCAGCAAATGACATTTCCTCATGCTGGGGTATCCTGCAGGACTTTGAAAGTTCTTCCTGGAGCTAAGACAAGAAGGGCTTGTACCTGTACTACACAATGCACATCAAATTAACCACGTGCCATTTAAAAATTGTTGCAGGAAAGAAAAAAAACATTGTATTTGTTTATACTTTTATCATCAATAAAACATTAGCAGGAAACAATTAATTACCTTGAAAATCAGTCATGAAATAATGCAATAGAAAGAGTGGGTAGAGAAAAATGTCACCTCTTCACCAACTAAAAAAGCATGAATGGGTGGGTTTTTAAGTATACATTCTGCCCATTTAAAAGACTCACCTTGTCAGTTTAGGTGTCACTAAACATAATGTGAGTTATTAACAAAGGAATTGGAGCTTACTTTTTTTTTTTTTTTTTTTTTTTTTTAATGTGTTTTTTAGTACCAGGAAATGTTATTGCATTCAGCAACTATAAATCATTATCCATTTTTTTTCTATCTACTGGGGATCTGTCTTGAGAAATCTCCTTTGCATGCCCTAATACACAGCAACTCATCAAGCACCAAATGAAGTCTTAACAGGTTTTCTTGATAGTCTGATTCAAAGGTTAAAAAAATGGAGCAATCAACTTCTAACATTCTATGATGATATTGCAGAACAATTTATTGAGAAATCGTAAGATAGCTGAATATTTAAATCACCAGAGAGGATGAAGGACATACCTAGAACTGCAAGTCCAATGTGAAAAATCAGTACCCACATCTGAGTTTAAGAGAGATGATGTAAAGAGCCCAGATATAGCAGATGTATAGATATGTTATTTATGTATCTATATACATTGTCATAATGATTTCATCTTGCCAAATCTAATCACAGGAAAGATTTCACATATTCTGCTAAATCAGAAGCTCACACAGCAACTTCTTCAGGCATGGATCTGCACTTACTCAGGAAGGGCTGCACCACATCAGACATATCTACTCTTAATTTTTCTAATTTGTCATTAAATGATGGAATAGCACTGAATTTTTTTTTTTTTTAATTTTTAAATTTTTTTTTAACCCCCACATCTTGAAGGCTCTTAGAAGCATAGGCACAACTGTACCAAGAAAGATGAAGAAGTCTAGCATCCTGCCTCTCACCATAATGAATGTCTAAACCAAATCTTAAACACATGGCAAATATGGACTGGTGTCTCTTTAGAATACTGAAGCCTACAGCATTTCTATTTCAGCTTGTCTACATGGGAAAACCAAGTATCAATGTATCTGATAGGAACAGATACACTAAAACATAAAAATACAAATACTAGTTAAAGAATTACTTCCTGCTTCCTACCTCACCACTGATACTTCATTATCCAGATTTTGTTTTTATAGATGCCTGAAGAAGGTTTCAATAGTTTGTAACATAACAAGCCATCCAAACAGTATTATTCACTAGATCCTGTGCTGACTGAGAAGGTTCAACTCTTCCAGATGCCTTTCTTAGACTAATTTTTATGACAGTCTTTACTTTCATAACATTCTTTGTTTTGAATGAAGCACAACTACGATGAATTTTGTTTTATTTGCTCCTGCAATAAACTACAGCAATACTGATATTAAACACACTGTGAAGTGTTTGAAACTAACATTAATACTTTGATTCCTCTCCTCTTAGGAGGAGATTTGAGATTTCCAGTTATTTTGCTTATTAAGAAGTCATTCTCAATCCCAAGTTCACATTTAAACACAGGGACCAGGAGTGCTTCATGGGTCTCTGTCTATACTGTGGCTCTTGACCCCCACTGGGACAAGATCCAGGTGAAGGGTTCCAGCCCCATCTCCCTCTGTGGGAATTCTCATCGTATTCTGGCAGAAGGTGTGCCAAGTATTTTCTAGAGCAAACAAGAAGGTCAACGTGAAATTTCCCATAGAACCCTTTTTAGGAGGGCTGTAGGCCTCACAAACAGAGAAGCAGGATGTCAACAAGGAAAGGACAAAGAGAAAAATGCTGAAGTCAGATTACTGCCCCATTTCTTTGCTATAATCGTAGAGAAGAAAAGGTGCACATATTGTTCTGGTCAGACAGAACGCGACTGGAAGAAGCAGGCTGCAAGGCAATGGAAATGTGTCCGAGGGGCACCACTATTGCTTTGGAGAATACCTAAATACTTGGTGCAGATATTAGGAACAGCTTATATTCTCTGGGAAGAAGGCCCCCCAAAAAGTACTGCACACCTGACCATGTCTAAGGAAGATCTGATGCTGAAGGG